GTAGAAAAATTTTAAAAATATAAAGTGCTAATAATACAAATATAATTTTATAGTTGTTAAAAAAGCACATGTTAAATATTCTCATATTTAAATTAAATTTTTTTTTAAAATAAAATTTTTGCCAAGTTATTTTATGTTGGTCAATATCAATTTTTTAAAATATGTCTGCAAAACTCACTCTTATAGAAAATAAATTAATTTTCTATATATCTGTACATATTTAAACAATTAATGTAAAAAAAATAATTATAATATAATTATTAAATTTATTAAATATATATAATTATTTACTGTTTAATTGATTATTATTTATATATAATTATTTATCATTTAATATAGGTATAATAATTTTTAGATAATGTAAACAAATAATACATACCGACGAAAAAGCTGTACTGAAAAGTGAACAAACATTTACATCTAAAGGTCATCTACGAGAATTTAATAAAGTCACACCAGAAGTATCGCGAATTCTTAAAAAAGATTTTGATATAATTCCAATTACTTTAAGTTGTGATTTTAATGTAATTTTTTTAACAGCTACAGCGCTTTTATTAATTAAGTTCCTGAACACCAAATTGAATATAAAAATGTGCAGCAGTCGCACTGAATTGACAACAAAATCAAAGACAATAATTGACGCTGTATTTCAAAGATATATTGATCAAATTCAAACCAAAGCATTTATTTTATATTTTAGTTACTGTTAGAATATTAATCTATTTCTATTACGCATAATGTATGAGCGCTGTAGAGTGAGCAGATTTCTTCAACGCGGAGTCCTTTGGTGATTGGTTTTATCTAATGATAACGAAGAAAAAAGTTTAATTAAAATAAAATTAAAATGGATGATCGAGCTAATATTTAGCGTGATATTTTATTTGCTCGTCAGGGAAAAGCCTTACGGCATAAAAAGCTTCGTTGTTAATTTTGATACAAATTGATGGTGTCCAACAACAGATTAAAAACGTGGCTTTTCAATTGATCATTTCGGGAATATAGGTATCTATATATATATATATATATATAGGTATCTATATATATATATAGGTATCTATATATATATATATATATATATATATAATATATATATATAATATATAGTATAATAAGGTATCTCACCGGTCGATTGAGGCGCGTACTTTCAACATAAGCAAAAATCTATGATATTTACGGATCGTAGACACATTTACGGCTTCTTACCTGAATATGTATGTAAAAGACGTATGACGATTGAACGCTGCGCGAGAGAGAGGACAGACTCAGTGTTTAAGGAAGAAAACAACAGCTTACTTTTACATTTATTTAGTCGTAATAAATCATTGAAACAAATAAGTCCTTTTTTTCGCTGATCCTCAATTTAACAGTTAACATAGGCCACTCGTGTCATTTATTAAAACCTAAAACTTGGAGTAGGTATAATATTTGTATAATGTCTGTATAAAAAATTGTAAACATTCGTCTTATTCTCTCGAAGCTTAGTTTTCTAAAGGTTTTACTTCAACTGTGTCTGGGCTGCACGCATGTATTTCTTTTCTCCTGCTATCTTCTTTTGCGTTTTGTTAAATTTATGTCATACAATGACGATGATTTGGATGAGGGTGATAAGTATCATGGGAAAAATACTACGACGAATGCTACTGAAAATGAAATAATAGTCACAATGCTAGAACGTAAATAAATGCAACAAGTTTAAAGAACACAGTGGGCACTCTGAAATAACAAGGTACGTCAGTTTTACAAGCAAAAGAACATATTTGCGTAGTACACCGGATCGAAAGGAGTACAGCTTTACCCCTAACACTACTAAATAAATCTAATTTGAAGGTGTGTTGCTAGACGACGAAAAAAAGAAGAATGAAGAAAGAGAGAGAAGTGGAAATAGATGCTTTGAGATTTTTTAAAAGTCATGAACAGATACGATATTTGTCAAAGAGCAAGTGTATTAGTGCATATCTTCACTTGTGTCAAAGATATTCAAATTAAAAGAAATTGTGGTAGAAGGAACGTTGTTTAAATGCGTCGCGTGTAATTACTATTGGAACGAAATGACGACGTGGGAAAAAAGTAAGAAAAAGAAAAATATACAGAATGGAGAATAGAGAGTGAATCTAATAAAGCTAGTGCGAGCTACGTAGAGAGTGAAAGAGAGGGGAATTGAGAGAGACAAAGACAGAGACAGAGACAGCGAGAGAGAGTGCGGTATCGTACGTGCAGGGGACGTGTAAGCACAACCGCGTTTTCTAGTTTACGCAAGAGTGAGTGAGAGCATTATCAATGACCTATTTATTAAAGAACGAACTTGAATATTAACGTCGGTGACCGTAGCACCTACGAACCTATATATGGTGAATTACATTTCTGTCGAATGCGCTTCTTTATGCATAATAGCAAATTTATGATAAATAAAAAGAATAATTATTGAAATTCGAGAAGACGGCAGGCAAACTTAATATGACTATTACGGTAGAGAAGACTAGATCACTTACAATCTCCAAGGAGCCCAGACGATGTAAATTTGCGGTATACAACCAGTGTCAACCAAGTGATGCGATTTTAATACCATGGTTCGATAATTACAAGTGACAGAAACCTAGAAAAGGAGGTAAAAGATCAAACAACCTAAGCCTTCATAATCCCTGGATACCTCTAAGATATTATATGGAGAAAAAAACATATGAGCATCAAAAGCAAGACACGAATATACAAAACTTGTATCAGACCGATAAAGACTTACGCGGCAGAGACAAACGCAGAGTCCACGATAACAGAACGTATCATGAGAACTACAGAAGTAAAGACGCTACGAACTATAACGGAGAACTCACTAAAAGGTAGAAGAAGTAACAAAGAGATAGGAGAAGAATGTGAGACCCAATGCGGGGTAAAGTGGATAAGAAGGAAAAGTGTGGAAAGGATGAACGACAGTAGGCTGCCGAAAGTAGCAAAAACAGAAAAAATAGGGACAACAAGACCACCTGGAAGACCTCGAAGAAAGTGGAATGAAAGCTGGATATCATCATCACAAGATAGACAAACGCCCTAAAAAGAAAATCTTACAACTAATATATAAAAGAAAGAAGTCCTAACAATAAGAAAATGAAGTATAAGAAGAAGAAAAAGTCACTATGGATCACTAGTCATTATTATGTTTTATAGAACGACATCCGACATACATTCAACTAAAATTATTTTTTTTCTTAACTAACATGAAACAATAGGAATAGAAAGATTTTAAACTAAAACGGATAACCTTCGATAAATTGTTTAAAATATTCAAATAATTTAATGTAATTGTCTGTGTTTTCTGGAATTAAAGAAATTCAATATCTTCTTACTTCGTCACTTTCGTCATATCATGTCATCTTACGACTATATTCATTTTCGAATATATTTCTAATTATTGCCGTATTCTGTTTGTAGCAATTATTATAGCAAAGTCTGATTAAACTTTGTTAATTTTAAGAGTAAAACATAATTCTTATTTTACTTTAGTTGACAGACGCGTTTCCCGCATGGCGCGTTAAAATAAGTTGTCTTCAATCAAGTTTTTAACTCTTTTTGCTTTGCTACTCAAATCTCGAGGAATATTTTGTTTTTATTAAGTATATTATCAAATAGTGTCCTATCTCGTCGCAAACATAAAACATCTTACCAGCTAATTTTTTCCAACAGGTCTTCCTTCTATTCAATATCGTTCTATCGATCGCGGAATTTAAAATCTGCATCATGTTTACGTCTATAACAGATTTATATGTATATGTTACTGGCATAGTCGGTAAACCGTCATTACAAGTAATACCCCGACATTATCATCAATGCAACGCGCCTTTTGACAAAGTCGGAAATGTATTCATATTTCTCACATTTCCTAGAAAATCTTCCTAGTATATTTCGTTCTAAACCCGCTTATCTTCTGATACGATAAAGATCAAAAGATTCAGACTTTGTATGGTAATCTCTACGAATATCTTTCTAACAAAATATAATTTTTTACAACGATAAGGAACAATAGAGCCTACATAATAACAAATCAGCATAAGGTAAGTCTCAATTTCTAGGATTGATCATAGTATAGCGGTGTGCGTAGTTTCATTCCCCTGCGCATAAATAAACGCTYACAAAAATTCGCGGAGCAGTCATGGTGTTAAATTAGTTTACAAAAAATTTGTTTTTTATTAGGCTCATTGAATGATTTTCAATAGCATGAATATACAAAAAAATTTGTTCTTTACCTAATATAATTATAAGTATATATAAATATTTTCTATTTAAAAACTTACATAAATTTGTGGAATCAGAAAAAGAAGCTTGTGTCTTGAAACTAATTAAAATATTAAAAGAAAAATTGAATTAAGTTGAAGAAGAGCTAGATGTCTGTTGTTTATCAAGAGAAATAAAACCTTTACTTATGATAGGAAATAGTAAAGCTTCAATAAATATATGATACACGTTCTTTTCATTAGAATAATTAAAAAATTAAATATGAATAATACATCTTTTTATAATTGTTTAGTTTACTTATAGTAATGCTTCTTTGGGCGATAGTATTATTATTTGCAATATATATTTACCTATATATATGATACTATATTTATTTGATACTTATAACTTTTGTTTATAATATGAATAGCAAGTAAAGCAATAGATACTTCTTAAATTAWTTTATACAGAAATACGTTGGAACTTGTGTTAAGCGCGACTGGACGCTAGCGAGTCTTTATTGCAACAGATAAAATCCGATATGAAGATGTAATAAGATCAATAAATCAAATAGAAAAGGAAATAGCATTTCTCCCTAAATGCTCTTCAAATTGCTCTTTCTCCTCTTTATTTCATTGAAAGTTAAACAATTCTTCTGTATGTAATTATCAATCTCCTCCAAGACCCGTACAATTTGATATACAATAATTCTGCCTTGCCAGTAGAGTAAAATTTGTAGAGAGCTGATGAAAGATGAAATAACATACATATCGGTATTTAGGTCTCTTTGCTTAAGCTATGCAACAACGCGACGTAACAATGATCATATACATGTCCTAATAAAAAATATGAAACCTTTATTATTGTATTTATATTATATTAGAAAGAGTCTTATTTTTTAGGTATTAAGAAGCAGTAAATCGATATACAGCAGCGATTATTAGCTAGTAAAATAATAAAATGATGGGAATAAGAGAGCAAATCGAGGATCATAAAGTCATCAATCGCTAATCTTGAGGTGCTCATCTTAGAACTACAAAGGAAGCGACGAATAAATTCGGAACAAGTTCTTATCTTTTTTATTCTTTATTTCAGAATGGTGCATAAATGTACTCATATAATAAGTTATATCATGTTGATATATATATATATGATTATTTTATCTTCAAATATTTGACAACAAACGGCACTAGTAAGTAAATATGCAATTTTTCTGTTAAAAAAAAATTCTTTAGGTTTTTTTTAATTAGAAAAAGAGAAACTGAGAGCTATATGTGTCAAATTTGTTTAATAATGCGTACATAATTAGTAGAACGCTTACATAAATATTTAAAAAAATATGTAAGTTAACTGTATCCTGATGTAGGTCCTTAAATAAATTTAATAATTTATGATGAAATTTAAAAATAAGCCTATGTAACCAAATCAAGTTTAAAGTTTTCTCAAGATAAATTAAAATTGCTGCTGTGTAGCCTAATGTTGAAATGTATTCTTCATATAATGACAATGATGATTTTTTGTACTGAATGTGTTGTTAAATGTGAATTTTTCAAACCATATTGTTGGTTTAAGATAACTTGGACTACGAAATTGTTCATTATAATCTTGTAGATTTTACCTATGTTAGAAATTAGACTGCTTTAGCAGGGTCTTTATTTTTTATTGTAAATTTG